AATATGACATCTACATTTTATATACCAGCAAAACTTCACAATTATCAATACCACAGCAGAATACAAGGGTAACTCATATAGGCCTAAGTTAAAAAGAAAAACACATAAAATTATTGACAAATAAATACTGTTAGTAATACAATAAAACAAAAAAGCAAAAGGTCAAATATCATAGAAAAAAGATACAAATAAAAAAAAATTTTGCAAAAAAAAATACTGAATACTTTTTTTGCAAGTCTAAAGTATTCTAACAGCCTACTACAGAAATGTAATAGGCTAAATGAATGTCAAATAAAACAGCATAGTGTTCACTCTAAAAATTAAACATGCATTGTTTCTTATTAAAACTACAAAAGTCCTTCATTCAAGAGCAGTGAGGGATTTTTCTCTTTGTATTTTTTTGTTTATATGTGCAGTAGGAGATCTTGGAAAATGTTAACTTTAGCCTGATAGCACTGAAAGCGAACGTCCTACCCTCCCTGCAAATCACAGTCCAAAGCCACGCCCCCTCAACACATATATTCTCACAGACCAGATGACCAGAGACAACATTACTACAATACATCATGTGTCATTCACCGGGAAGAAAACTTTATAGCACAGCTAGTAAAAGTACTACAATACCAGGAAGGAAGGTCAGAAGGTCAGATTTTTGGCTGCCATTATCGCTCTGTCAGCACAGCATACGTGAACGCGCTGATGATGTATTGTGTCTGCGCGAACAGGGTGCGCAGAGGTATGCAAATACATATGTTGACAAGCAGGTAGGAAAGCCAATCAAAATGCTCGGACCGAGCATTTGATTGGACGAACATTTCTTGGTCCTACAGCTTCCACAGAATATATAAATACATTTAGACCACTTAACTTAATGATTGCTATCGGGATGTGAAGAGACTTTCAACCAGCATAACAAAAAATGTTTCTGAAAACAATCACCTATTGCACTTTTAATATTAAGCACAGAGACGGCAGAAGGAATATTACTTGTTTTCGCTTTAAGAGCTGCACGGATCCAATATACTGTTACACATGTATTTTCATTCTTAACCGTTTATACGTTCATTTAAGACACAACTGATGAAAGTTTACATGAATAATCAAAAAGCGCTGTATTTTGACATTTTTGTGTGTATTTGACCATTTAGGCATGCAGTTTAAAGGTGCAGTAGGAGATCTTGGAAAATGCTAAAAACTTTAGCCTGACAGCACTGAAAGCGAACGTCCCACCCTCCCTGCAATCGCCGTCCAAAGCCACACCCCCGAACGCATACAGTGGGTACGGAAAGTATTCAGACCCCCTTAAAATTTTCACTCTTAACAATATTGCAGCCATTTGCTAAGTGAAAAATTTAAGGGGGTCTGAATACTTTCCGTACCCACTGTATATGCTCACAGACCAGAATAACAGAGACAACATTACTATGGATGTAACGGTATGAAAATTTCTTATCACGATTATAGTGACCAAAATTATCACAGTTAGCAGTATTATCATGGTATTGTTCAAATGTGCTGGAGATGTTAAAGTACCGACACATAAAATCACTTCAAGTTTTCGATTTAAAAATCAAAAAACAACAAAAAATGACTTTTTGTTTGCATAATCATTAAAACAATAACATTACCAATGATGTTAGGATTTTAAATGACAACTTGACTGAACAGTTTAATAGCATGTTGAAATATCTAATGTACATGTTCAAAACTTTGAAAAAGTTTAATAAAAAGGTAAACCTCACATTTCAGCCTTTAAATTAAGAAAAGATAATTGATTAATAAATGATTATATGTATTTTATCTGCTCCATAAATAATTCTACATAACTTATCTGAATTGTTTAAATGTGTAGAATCCACATAAGCTTGTTTTCCATCAACCTGTCAATTTACAGCAAGGCATGCAAGTTCGGTCCGTTTTTGGACAGACAGAAACTGCACACAGACTGAATGTAAATATAACTCTCTGTAAATCCACTCGCTGACAGCAGGTGGCGCTTATGGAAAAACTGAATTTTCCCGTAACCTCCGTGGACAAAGCAGCATTGCGATTAAGAACACTTCCTTTAGGTATTACATGGAGCGAAGTGCAAGCAAAATGCCATCTAATCGTTTCTGAAGACAGTCAGAACCTTCAGAGGTACATTCATATAATTAATTCATTCATATATTAATTTGTATAATTCCCTTAGCACTCTTTTAAAACATCCCAGCTTTTCCACCCCGTTTTCACTCAAAACTAAACTACTCTGCTGCCGTGCGCACATGAGACTGTTACTGAAAACTGTGATTTATGCTGGACAGTATTTATTTATCACAAGTTTTTTAAAATTGCGGTAATCTAATACGGTTTTAATGATAATTAAAAAATGAAACGGTAATACTAACCGGGGGGAATTTTATCATGATTTATCATCAAACCGGTAGTCATTACATCCCTACATTACTACAATAGGCTAGGAATACACCGAATGTTCGGCAACCGAATAAGCGAAAAAGTAGAATATGTACCAAACAATGACTAACGCGATCAAATAGAGGCACGCACTAATGCAGTAAACATATCGGCAGTGTGAAAGTATTTAAAACTATCAGAGAAAGATGCAGAAATCATTACAAGCACGAAGCACCGACAGCGAGAGACTGTTTAGTGCTTCATCACATGTCTCCGATGAGAAGAAGAGGTGGCTGATGCTGGTGGTTAGGCTACTGTATGATGATTGAAATGGCGAAATGGCCTCAAACGATTAATAAATAAACTGCAGAATGTTATATTTTCTTATGCACGCACGAATTGCATGTTTTCTGACAGCGCTGCACAAGCTCACGGCGCCAGGGTTCAAAGTCCAAATCACAAGGAAAATCTGCACTGAAACTGTGTTACTCATCAGTTGCTCAGTAACATTTTTGTGAATTTTTTTTAAAGGCATGTGACAATGTGATACTGCGACAAACGTCTTCCCAAATTCGTAATGAGAATAATTTATAAATCTGCTCTGTAAAAAAAAAAATACATGCCTGTTTCAAGTCTCAAAAACGGCCAAAAAATATTTTACTAACTTATTTTAAGTTAAATTGTGCTTTGTTGGTATAATGTCTGCTAGAATGTTAAAAAATGTTCAGTGTTAAGTAAATATTTTTAAATTGTTGTTTTGTAATTGATTTTTTATTTCAAAAGCAGGACAAAACAGTAAAAAGCACATTTTGGCTATTTATTTTATGCAATGTGAAAAAAAAAGAAAAGAAAAAAAAAAAAAAGGCAAAATAGGCCTACATGGGGGAAAAATTTTGAAAAACCGTGTTCGGTATTAGGCCCAGTGTTTCATTTTGTTCTGCTTCGGCCAAAAATTTTCATTTCGGTGCATCCCTACAATAGGCTACATCAGCGGTTCCCAATTCCAGTCCTTGCGATCGTCCCATTTTATGAAAATCACGTTACATGATTTTATTGATTTGCATGTGAAATCGGCTTTTATGGAGGAGCGAAACCACTCCGCTGGAAAGGGGGCGGAATGGGGCGCAATAATCGGTTTATCTCGATTATTGTATTTTCATAATCGTTTGAAGCTGAAATCGAAATCGAAACTGAATTTTGATTAACTGCACAGCCCTAGTGTACAAACAATTGTTCTGGCAACAAGATGAACACTTCAACAATATTACCACAGGTGTATTATTAATACTGAAGTCCTCTAGTTTCATTTTACAGTAAATGGGTAATTCCACAAAATCTGTGCCTTTTCCACTTGGAAAATTTTGTAATAAAATAAGTTTAAATCAACATTTTTTAAATATCCATGAAATGAAGACACCTTAAAATGACAAGAAATTGTATTATACCATCTCAGATTATGTAATTTATTATTTTATGCCTATTAAAAATACATCTACCTCATATTTTGGCATTTTTGTCAATACTGTTACAGACATGAGCGTTACTATATACTATAGTTTATTTAGAACTATGTGATAGTTCTCACATATATGAGCAGCATTTTGGGCTCTCTTTTCACTGGGATTGTTTAAAAAAAAAAATTTTTTTTTTTATATATTTGTCATTCAGATGACCAAGAACATCCTAATTTTGGAGGGTGACTACATCAATTAAGAAATTTTTTTTTTACAAGAGAGATATTTAAAAAAAAAATTTGTATTTACATTTTAAAAATGTTAACAGTATTGACTGCATGATGTCCCCTCCTCAGTCAAGTCTCATAAATCATCAAAAATAGAACATTATAGAGGAGTGAGAGAAACATGCTTGTGTTTTAAGTGTTGGAATCCTGGTTGAGAGATGATGTAACCTCCTAGAAGTGATGCCATTTGAATGTACATTATTTTACAAGGTTTTTTTGATGAGAGTAACAGGGCTGACATGAAATCAGGGGACACCAATAAAATAATTAATAATTTATAGAAAAAGTGTATACTTATGCCAAAAACATTGCTTAACAATGAGACTGTATTTAGAACAATATGCAAATGTGATTTTTATATCATTTTGTCTTCATTTTGCAAATTAAAAGTCCTGCTGAAAAAGAAAAATCATAGTGAGGGACAGGCCGAAACCCTTACCAGCATTAATGCTGTTTAAATTATTTAAAATAATACTTAATTGACTTAAATTTGATGTAATATTGATGAAAGAATACATAGTATAATGTTTTTAAATCGCAAAGTTATTTGTTGTTATATTAACTCTGTTTGATTATTTCTTAGCGATGCAAAAGGCACTGATTTCATGGAATGACCCAAATGCAGTCTATAACTGAGGCACAGGATGATAGCAGTTGCGTTTGAATAAAAGAAGAGAGATGCTGTGTGATATGAGAGATGTGAAAGAAGCGCCAGCCTTAAATCCCCAGATGAGTGGTATAGTATTCAGCATTGCTAATGACAACACCACAGAATGTTGCAACTGACCAATCAGAATCAAGTATTCCGGAAAGCAGTGTACTAAAGCAGCCTATAAGATGCTTAAAATGTATGCAAATGTCTTACCATACTGTTAATTTCTTCCGATGAGGCACTTTCACTTTTTAAGGACTCCTGGTCTGAAATGTCTTTGTCACTATCATCAAATGGCGAAATCAAAGCTGAGAAAAATATCAAAGTGTGAGCAGGGTAAAAAACAGAGCTTTAACTATAGAGTTTGATTAGCATTCACATTTATCAATGAATCTTTTTTGCATGCATATTAGTTTCTTAGATAATTTTTAGCAACCCCAAATACTCACAAGCATCATCACTCTTCTCCTTTTCCTCTTCAGTGAGGGACTTCAATATTGGGTTAACACCTGGCAGACGACAGCGTCGTTTCTTCCATCCCTTTTTCCGCCTGCACAAAAAAATTTAATAAAAATAAAAATTACAATATACTTATAAAAGATGTGAATTTAAACCCTTGATTCATTTAACAAAGTCTTTTGAAATTTTTTGATGCACTGACTTTGCAAATACTGAAAATGTCTCTGTCTGTGTTCTGAAGATTAACAAAAGTCTCTTGAATTTGGTTCGACATAAAGGGTCGTCAATGATGACAGAAATTATTTTTTGTACATTTACTAACCCATTAAATGTGCTAAAACCAACCAAAAAAAAAAACGTTTCATTCATTTATTTTTCATATGGGGTCTTTAAAGATCCCCAATGCACTAGCCATGATATCAGATTTTTTTATCGTTATTATTAATGAACAAGTCAATCAAGTATATTTGAACTACCATTAGCCGACAAAAACATCTTACATGACTAAACAACGCGAACAAGCAACAAGTTGAGACTCACATGCGAGCCAAAGCTTTTCGTGCCAGTTTACGTTGTAATTTGCGATTATTTTCAGAATCTCTGAGCACATGATCCTCTGCAGCCCATCGATCCCAACTGAAAAACAGTAAACAACGTTTCAGTACAAATTCTCAGCAGTGACAACACTCAAGTAAACGCATTGGGCATGGCTTTATTAAGCACAGGGGTGTCAAACTCAATTCCTGGAGGGCCGGAGCCCTGCAGAGTTTAGATTCAACCCTAATTAAACACACCTGATCTAACTAATCAAGTTCTTCAAGCCTATTTGAAAACTACATGGTATGTGTGCTGGAGCAGGGTTGGAACAAAACTCTGCAGGGCTCCGGTGTTCTGACGATTTGTGCTACCCGTTCTGATTAAGCTACCTCCCATTAAAAAGATAGGTAGCACAAATCGATAGCGAAAAATGCTACCTATCAGATTGTGCTACCAGCATCTTACTCATGTGGTTTGAAGCTTTTTTTTAATGTCCATACCTACCTCTACCTTAAACCTACCCGTCCATACCTACCCTTACCCTAAACTTACCATTAAAACAATGCAATTATATTTTTGGTAGCACAATCTGATAGGTAGCATGTTTTATCGGTACACCGGCCCTCCAGGAATTGAGTTTGACCCCTGGTTTAGCAGTTTTATTTTATTTTCCCTACGCTATATAAAAAGAATATAATCACTGTACAGCTAAAATGTCAAACAATGACATAATAATATTATAACCCTAAAATGAGGCCTCCTCTTACCTTCTATTCCAACCATTGAAATGAATCAGATACTTTGGGACCCTTTTCCCCTTCTCATCTTTTACTGTTGCGATATCAACAACCTGCAATGCAAAACGCAAATGAACAAATTTAAGACTCCCCACGAAAGAACGCAGCTTGGAACCGCAGAAAACTGACTGTGCGGCGCATAATGACGACGTCACAACTGTAGCTAAGTTAGCTAGGTTTATTTTTGTGTAAGTAATTTTATTTTAGGGTTACTAATGTAACTCTGATACAGTACATTTATTGATGTTATTCTCTTCTAAACGTTTTAAGTACGCACAATTTTAAGTGAAACTTAAGCTGAGTGAGATAAGTGCTGAGGGTTTTTTTCGTTATGCGTTTACTGTAAATTTAGTCACATACATTTAGAAGCACACAATATATTTACGCACTAATAGTACTCACGGTGTTGCATGTCCCCTGTGATCCATTTCATTTAAATCTTTTGCTTGATTTGGGCATGTTGAAGAGGATGGATGGGCCTCGGATAGAGCGGATGCAGCGCTAGCTACTTCAGCGCGCTAACACGCTGTAACTTTTCCTGTTTCTTAATTGAACAACGCAACGGGCTTTTAATGAAAATACATACAACGCACAATATGATCGATTTAATATGTGTACATGTTTTAAAGTTGATTATATGTATGATCCTTAAGAACTGTAAAAGCCCTCCAGGTTCACGACCGCGCCGAAAAATAGTATTTGAGGAAATGTGAAAAGAAATGAATATACATATGCGTGAAAGCAACCTTTACTGTCTGTAACACATTAAACAATGCGTTAAAGGACAAATGTGTAGCAACACGATCTTACTGTATATTTACCTTTGCATCGTAGAGCACCTTGGCCTTGGATGGGTCAGGTTCAAAACAGAGAACTTTTTCTCCTTTATGGAATTTAAATTTCATTCCCCAAGAGTTCATTTGTTCATCGTGGCGAAGAGGACTCTGAAGCCCCGCTCCTTAACCCGTTGCATACCTTGTCGTTGAGGAAGATAGAAAGAGCTGCGCGCAAAAACTGAAAGCTGATTTATGTGTTCACGCTCTCCTGGGAAGTCCCTGCTTAAGAGTTCGGAAATTCGTAATTATGAAAAGAAATGTGTTAAAAAAGTTAACGAAAATGAAATAGACTCTCTCACTCTCTCTACATCAGTAAGTAGGCGCGTTTCCATTACCCTTCAAATTGCGCAAATTGAAATTGTGAATTGAAAATACACCTAATGGAAACGCGCAATTTCGCAAAACGCCCATATATCGCAAAAAAGTTTTACGCTCGCATGAGGTGGTTTCAGGCAATGCAAAAAAGGAATAATTCGCAAAACTGCAATGGAAACGGTTTTTCGCATTAGGTCACATGGCGTAGCCTAGGTAAAAAGTCATAATCATTCTCCAATGTACAATAACCTCCAAGAAACACTTCATACGTGGCCGCGCTACAGTATAAGGGGCTTGCCTACCATTAGCCTAATGCTTAGACAATTTACACTGCACACGTCTGCGGCCACTGAAGCTGATTACGGCCACTCTAGTCAATGCTTGTGTTTATTCCAGCCGCCCCACGCACGTTTCTGAAGCGGCACTTTGTGTTCCTTCTGTAAAGATACAGGCATACGCCTCCTTTGAATAAATATAGCCAAAATCCGTTAAAATCCCACCAAAATTCGTTGCCATGACTTATCGCGAGAGGCGAAAGGTTACTGAGATTCGCCTGAAATGCAGGCGAGAGTAGGCGGCTGCAGTGAGGGGAGGAGTGAAATAAGCGCAGTCAAGACGGACAGTTCTATGGCAAGCCGTTTTAGCATTAAATACTCCTTGCTGTACTAGTCTAATTTAGTTTTGACTAGTCAAAATTCCAATTCCAGATATCTATTCTGCAATTTTTACTCGTAATTGGAATTGTTATCTACAATGTGATTATGACTAGTCATTATATGCATTGAAGATGTCTACAATGTTATTTTGACTAGTCATAATATACATTTGCGATATCTACAATGCTATTACGACTAGTCATTTTGTTCCATTGACTTCCATTGGAAAATATTTTCGGATATCTTCAAAAGAGTTTTGACTAGTAGAAATTGTAATTAAAGATATCTATAATTGATTTTGTACTAGGCATAATTCTAATTAGAGATATCTCAAATTACAATTCTACTAGTGATAATTAAATTAGAGATATCTCTAACTGAATTAACGTAAAAATTATAATTCAAGATATCTCTAACTGTTGTTTGACTAGTCATAATCATATTGCAGATATCGTTAATTCATGATTTCTTAAATATATCCAAAATATATTTGTAGATATCTGAAAGTAATTTATTACTAGTCAAATTACAGTTGTAGATATCTTGAATTGGATTTTTGACTAGGCAAAACTTAATAAGAGATATCTTGAATTGGAATTCTTCCTAGTCAAAACTCATTTAAAGATAGCTGCAATTTAATTATGGATATCTCAATCTGATTTTTGATAAGGAAGATCTTTCTTTGGAGATATCTGCATTTAGCTTTGTGACTGGGAAGAATTTCAGTATAGATATCTGGAATTAACAATGTGACTAGTCAAAATTCCTTTATAGTTGTCTAAAATGTGCATGCAAATGCACCTTTGTTAAGCCCCACCTTAAACATTTTATTAACCAATCCTACCTTGGAAACTGTTGTCATCCGCCATTTTGTCTAAGAGTTGTATAATAAAGGTCCTGCGTCTTTGGGTCATTTTAAACTGTTTTATACAGAAGTAATTCAAAAGTATGGAAATAAAAATGTAGCTCGAGCATGTGTAAAAGTGGTAGACTACACAGAGAGGACTCAGACAGGCTTTTGTCCTATTCTATATACAATAACCTCCAAGAAACACTTCATACGTGGCCGCGCTACAGTATAAGGGGCTTGCCTACCATTAGCCTAATGCTTAGACAATTTACACTGCACACGTCTGCGGCCACTGAAGCTGATTACGGCCACTCTAGTCAATGCTTGTGTTTATTCCAGCCGCCCCACGCACGTTTCTGAAGCGGCACTTTGTGTTCCTTCTGTAAAGATACAGGCATACGCCTCCTTTGAATAAATATAGCCAAAATCCGTTAAAATCCCACCAAAATTCGTTGCCATGACTTATCGCGAGAGGCGAAAGGTTACTGAGATTCGCCTGAAATGCAGGCGAGAGTAGGCGGCTGCAGTGAGGGGAGGAGTGAAATAAGCGCAGTCAAGACGGACAGTTCTATGGCAAGCCGTTTTAGCATTAAATACTCCTTGCTGTACTAGTCTAATTTAGTTTTGACTAGTCAAAATTCCAATTCCAGATATCTATTCTGCAATTTTTACTCGTAATTGGAATTGTTATCTACAATGTGATTATGACTAGTCATTATATGCATTGAAGATGTCTACAATGTTATTTTGACTAGTCATAATATACATTCGAGATATCTACAATGCTGTTATGACTAGTCATATTGTTCCATTGACTTCCATTGAAAAATATTTTCGGATATCTACAAAAGAGTTTTGACTAGTAGAAATTGTAATTAAAGATATCTATAATTGATTTTGTACTAGGCATAATTCTAATTAGAGATATCTCAAATTACAATTCTACTAGTGATAATTAAATTAGAGATATCTCTAACTGAATTAACGTAAAAATTATAATTCAAGATATCTCTAACTGTTGTTTGACTAGTCATAATCATATTGCAGATATCGTTAATTCATGATTTCTTAAATATATCCAAAATATATTTGTAGATATCTGAAAGTAATTTATTACTAGTCAAATTACAGTTGTAGATATCTTGAATTGGAATTCTTCCTAGTCAAAACTCATTTAAAGATAGCTGCAATTTAATTATGGATATCTCAATCTGATTTTTGATAAGGAAGATCTTTCTTTGGAGATATCTGCATTTAGCTTTGTGACTGGGAAGAATTTCAGTATAGATATCTGGAATTAACAATGTGACTAGTCAAAATTCCTTTATAGTTGTCTAAAATGTGCATGCAAATGCACCTTTGTTAAGCCCCACCTTAAACATTTTATTAACCAATCCTACCTTCGAAACTGTTGTCATCCGCCATTTTTGCCAAGAGTTGTATAATAAAGGTCCTGCGTTTTTGGGTCATTTTAAACTGTTTTATACAGAAGTAATTCAAAAGTATGGAAATAAAAATGTAGCTGGAGCATGTGTAAAAGTGGTAGGCTATACAGAGGACTCAGATAGGCTTTTGTCATATTCTATATCACAATGTTGAGACGTGTGTGCTGTGGATTAAATTGTGTTAGCCTTTATTTACAAACGAACACATGTAAATCAGTAGCTAAGGATTTGTATAGGTCTCATGTCAGCCGTTGCAACATTTGATATAATGTTAAAAGAATACATTGGCGCACATCATTGAACACAGCAGAATATCATCATCATCATGGATCTCTTGCTATAATACATTACAATACTCCCACCTTGTGGGATATTTCCTATGGAAGCTCGTTTCCTCCATTAAATAAATAAATAATTAATAAATAAACTTTTTATCTCACAATTCTGACTTCTTTTGCAAGATATAGCTAAACACAATGCAAAGAATTGTGAGTTTATAACTAGCATTGTTTATATCTCGCAATTCTGAGGAAAAAAAAGTCAGAATTGTAAGATAAAAAGCTGCAAATTACTTTTATTTTTTTATTCCATGGCAGAAAACAAGCTGCCATAAGGACACAAGTAAACCTGAATCCATACACAACGTAATGTAACCTACTAATAAATGTCATCAATGCCAGTTAAACTTTTATTAAATTGTAATCTTTTAAAGCCTTCACCTTTTTTGACTGCATCAGATTCTGAAGCATCGTTCTTGTCCGTCATGCATTTGTACTATTGTTTTTGTTGTATAATTCCATTGTTCTTCATTATGTCTAAATATACAGGTGCATCTCAATAAATTAGAATGTCGTGGAAAAGTTCATTTAAGTAATTCAACTCAAATTGTGAAACTTGTGTATTAAATAAATACAATGCACACAGACTGAAGTAGTTTAAGTCTTTGGTTCTTTTAATTGTGTTGATTTTGGCTCACATTTAACAAAAACCCACCAATTCACTATCTCAACAAATTAGAATACTTCAAAAGACCAAATAAAAAATTTTTTTTAGTGAATTGTTGGCCTTCTGGAAAGTATGCTAATTTACTGTACATGTACTCAATACTTGGTAGGGGCTCCTTTTACTTTAATTACTGCATCAATTCGGCGTGGCATGGAGGTAATCAGTTTGTGGCACTGCTAAGGTGGTATGGAAGCCCAGGTTTCTTTGACAGTAGCCAATAAATGAACTTTTCCACGACATTCTAATTTATTGAGATGCACCTGTATACTACGGTAAATAAATTCAGATGAGCAGTTTTCGGTTTTCTGCCTTTATTGAACATTACACTGCATTTGGTCCATTTTGCAACATGATTCGATTAAAATCACAGCGCTATACATACATGCACACTGGAGACCTTTTACCAGATATGGCTGCATCCAGATATTATTTAATAACGCCTGAAGTAATTCATCCAGTAGCTTTTCTCTCCATGGCAAGAAAAGCAGACCACTGTTGTTAGCAGTTAGCACTAAACATTAGTCGGGGAGGGGCTCTGGGAGGAGCTGAGTAAATTTAGTCTCACCTCACACAACAGCGGATTCGACTAGGAGCAGGTATATTGCAAGCCATTTTAGCTTAAAATATCACCAGCGTTACTCGTCGTAATTGCATTTTTACTAGTAACAATTCAATTAGAGAGCTCTACAATTAAATTCTTACTAGTAACAATGCCAATTAGAGAGCTCTCTAAATCAATTATTACGAGTAACAATTACTATAAAATGTTGCAACGGCTGACATGAGACCTATACAAATCCTTAGCTACTGATTTTACATGTGTTCGTTTGTAAATAAAGGCTAACACAATTTAATCCACAGCACACGTCTCAACATTACGATATAGAATAGGACAAAAGCCTGTCTGAGTCCTCTCTACCACTTTTATACATGCTCCAGCTACATTTTTATTTCCATACTTTTGAATTACTTCTGTATAAAACAGTTTAAAATGACCCAAAGACGCAGGACCTTTATTATACAACTTTTCGCGTGTGTTTTGTTGTGAAACGTAGTTTGCGGACCAGACAGAGCTGTCGGCGATTCTTCCTATTGTGAAGTCATGCAGTGTGAAACCCCCTGTCGCCGATCCATCGTGCAATGTGAACACAGCAGCAACTGAATGCTACCCCAGATAGTCAGGCAGTGTGAAAACAACGGCGATCCGAAAAGTTTGAAAATCGTGCAGTCTGAACTCGATTACGAGTAACAATTATAATTAGAGAGCTCTCTAATTCAGTTATTACTAGTAACAATTCCAATTAGAGAGCTCTCTAAATCAATTTTACTAGTAATAATTCCAATTAGAGAGCTCTCTAAATAAATTTTTACTAGTACCATTTCCAATTAGAGAGCTCTCTAATTTAATTATTACTAGTAAAAATACAATTACAGAGCTATATAATAAAATTTTTACTAGTAAAAAAACACATTAAAGATATGTTTAATTGCAGAGCTCTGTAATTGAATTAGAGAGCTCTCTAATTTAGTTCTTACTAGTAACAATTGAATTAGAGAGCTCTCTAAATGGAATTCTTACTAGTAAAAACTGAATTAGAGAGCTCTTTAATTAGAATTATTACTAGTAAAAACTGAATTAGAGTATGGCAAGCCTTTTTAGCATTTAAAAGTTTGTTTTGACTATCCATAAATATAATTTAAGATAGGAACAATTGTATTTTAATGAGTCCTAATTATAATTCGACTAGACACAATGACAATTAGAGATATCTGCAATTATAATTGCACTAGTAAAAAATCGGATTAGAGATATCTCTAAATACTTGACGTCATAGATATCTTCAATAGGGCGTCACACATACGCAAAGGTAATTAGAGATATCTCTAATTCAGTTTCGACTAGTCACAATTATATTTTAAGAGAAAAGTTTGAAAATCGTGCAGTCTGAACTCGGCATAAGGGTAATGAAAGGTTCATATTTTGGTTTTGGGAGTCCCCAACAACAGATTGACATGCATGCAAGGTCAAAAAACACTTTCATTGTCTTATAATATGCATTTATTTTTACCTTGCTTAACGACTCCCAAACGTGTGCTGTTGTGTGACGTGAAACTAAATTTACTCAGCTCCTCCGAGAGCCCTTCCCCGACTAATGTTTAATGCTAACTGCTAACAACAGTGGTCTGCTTTTCTTGTCACGGAGAGAAAAGCTACTGGATGAATTACTAACGACTCCCAAACGATTCGCTCAACCATTCATTTTTCCAAACCCCTCCTTTGCGTGACGCGAATCTGCGGTGATTGGTCCGATTGGTCTAATTTTCATTACATCATGCCTGTAATGCCTGATAAAGCAGCGTTTGTGAGCGCAGTGCTGCTTTGTGTACAGCTTTACCAGAGAAACAGCTATTTTTACCGCTCCTAAAGCGGCATCTAGTGGCAAAGAATGAATTTACATTTTCATTCAGACCAACACGAAAAGATCAACAAGTGGGCAGGCAATATGCTAATGTTTCATATTGATGTCAACATGAAATGGCTTGGGTTTCGTTTTAAAAACGACTGGTTGCAATGATTCAGAGTCGACTCTTTCTTTTGAGGGACAATAACTTTATACACGGTGCACTTTCAGATTTAAAACTTTGCAGGATGTTTTCATTCACTTAGAGCTGTGTTACACACTGCATGAAAGGTAATTTTCAAAAATCCATAATAGGGCCACCTTAAAGTAAAAGTGAAATTTCAAACATGAGAAACATCTACATCTGTTTAATCTGTTTTCAGAGGTTACCTTAAGTCATTTAACAATCACTCACCATTTATAAAACATACCATATTAGATAACATTTAAAGGGATAGTTCACCCAAACATGTTGTTCGGTACACAAATGAAGATATTTTTGATGAAATTTTATGGTGTTCTGACACTGCATAGACAGCAACGGAACTACCACATTCAAGGCCCAGAAACGTAGTAAGGACAGTAGCCTACTGCCGCTCCCTATACGCAGAATACGCAGTTTGCGTAGGGCACCAACTCTCATGGGGGGGCACCATCCCAGCTGCTCAAAAAAAACAAAAAAACATACATATATACATTATAATACATACATAAATACAAATATAAACATGAACATATATACATATTTCAGATTTAAAACTTTGCAGGATGTTTTCATTCACTTAGGGCTGTGTTACACACTGCGTGAGAAGGTCATTTAAAAAAATCCATAATAGGGACACTTTAAAGTAAAATTTAAATTTCAAACATAAGAAACATCTACATCCGTTTAATCTGTTTTCAGAAGTTACCTCAAGTCATTTAACAATCACTCACCATTTATAAAACATACCGTATTAGATAACATTTAAAGCGATAGTTCACCCAAACATGTTGTTCGGTACACAAATGAAGATATTTTTGATTAAATTTGATAGCTTTCTGACACTGCATAGACAGCAACAGAACACATTCAAGGCCCAGAAACGTAGTAAGGACAGTACCCAGCAAGCAATAGCCGTCATTTCAACGTCTCGGTTAAGTGTAGACCCGATATAGTCCGGCTATGTGTAACCCACTTCTAGCCCAAATAACCTTGAATTTGATTTCATGTCGTTTTTTGGCAAAATAACTTGTGAGATGTATGATATTCCATCATGTAAAAAAAAAAGTAACAGCGTTTACAAGGTGTTTGGTTTCATTTCTTTGACATGTTCAATGCTTAGCCTGTGCATAGCCATGATTTAGCTCGTAGTCAGAGCAGCTATCTGTAGCCCACTTATAGTCAAACCTGATTCACTGTAGTTTTTGGCCAGGCAGCGCATGAGATGGTTGATATCCCATCATGTTCGCAGTGTCAATAAAATCTACAAAGATATAAGTGATCTATATGTAGCCACGATTTAGCTCTAAATTGGACGGGCTACGTGTAATCTGCTTTTAACGGCTATAGCCCTATACCAGTAACCAGACCAGCGATAAGCATAGCCAAAATAGCCTTAAAATTGTTTACATGTAATTTTCGCCCACGCAGCTTCTTATCAAATGCAAGTAAACGTTTGAAACATTTAAATGAGCATTATTTTATTTTATTATTTTACAGCATTATTAAATATAGCATTATTTATTATGCCAAAAATAATGCTAATTTAAGTGTTTCAAAAGTTTACTTGCATTTGATAATATGATTTCATGCATCCCACAAGCTGTTAAACGTTACATTCATACACATTATATGATATTATTGATATTCGGCTGTCTTTCATTTTATAAATAAAAATGCAATTACAATTCCCAACCGCTAGATGGCAATTGTAGCCCTACGTGAGACATGACTACTGACAACCGAGACATGAGAGGTAGAGATCAGTGTTGTGTTTTGAATTTTTTTTACACGAGAGAGCACTAAGTTTACTTGTCGGAGAGCAGCGGGCAAACAACAAACGATAAAGGACATTCCTACTTGGTCTTGTAAGTATCTGTGTTTTCGTTTTGACGTGTTCATTATTTATCTATATTATTTGTTATCATGTTTAGGAACCGTGACATTTTAGAGAAGGGAGCAGATCGTAGTTGATAGTGACCCGTGACTAGGCCCACGGTTCAGCACGCATGTGTTCAGAGGATTAATTGCTAAATTTAATAGAGTAAAAGTTTTATAATTTGTACGTGTTTACAAACTCAAACGATTTTAAAACAGCGCAAAAGAGGAAACAACAGAACAAACACAGCTTTGACAAAGATTAATCCATATTAATTTATACAGTGAACACACTCAGAAGAATTGGAGAAACTGAGGAGAAGTTTCAACATCTGGAAAACTGGTTGGAAATTGAAAAGATCCGGGCAGCAATGGTAAAAAAACAAACAACCCTCTCCAAAACAACATTTCCTCACTAAAGCTCTCATCTTTGACAAAGTCCATCATTTATTTTATTATATTGAATTTATTACTGAACAATGGCTTGTTAGATACAGAGAGAGCATGAGCTAATTGAATATAATATCTTTGTCATTGTACAAGTACAATAAGATTTATTTTGAAACTTCCAAATTGATAGTAAAGCTTAAGAATACAAATAATAAAAAATGGCAATATAAAATTATCAATTATAAAAAGTTGCAGCAGTATTAAAATAGTGCAAATAGCTCAGATGTGCAATGCAGCATTAAAGCCTAAACAGTACAAACAGAAAACATAATGAAATAATACAGGTAGGGGTGAATTTATTATTCCACATACATTTGAGGTTAATGTGTGTACTGGGCTACTTTAGTTACAGCAGCTATCACTGTGTTGTTATGAAGTCAGTTGTGCCAGACAATTTTGGAGGCAGAGACAGATTATGGGGGGCACTAATAGGGAAAAACTTAAACTGTTGGAATAAAGAGTTTTAAAGGGTTAGTGATGGAAAACTTGCAGGTCAATGGGCATCATTGTTTAAGGTTGGTAAACACTTGTACATGGACGCATATAATACTACCCGCCTGACATTGGCATATGTTATTCAGGTGTCAAAGTTGTGCAGAGTTAAAGGAAGAAACCTCAAAGACAGTGCCAGAAGGACGCTGGACAGGTAAAGCCTACAAATCTTGCCACATTAACACAAACATTGTGGTGTCAATACTCAATAAGTTACAACGAAAATCAGAAATTGAAAAAAGTCATTTTGAAATGTTAAACTTTGTACGCAATTGTTAACCACCTCAATCTTTATTATATTTTAGGGTTTTAAAAAAATTCCCTCATGTCCAAATTCAACATGAAGGGGGGTGGTCCGCTGCAGAAAGAAGCATTTGAAAAGACTGCACTGTTCTCAGTCATTAGAGGTATGTGTATAAAGTTAAGTGTGATGTTAAGTTAACATGCTCTTGATTTGTATTAGATTTTTTTTCTTTTAAATATCTTATATTTAAAATATTTTATTTTTTCATTTTTATATTTTTATTATCTTAAGTTGTAAAAAATTCCAGATTTTTTTATCATAGTATTTATATTTATGTGTATTGTAGTTATACAATTTTTATTTTGTCATTAATTCTTTTGCATTTTTATCATTTTGTATTGTCTTAAGTTGTCCAAGTTGTTAAAAATTTTATCTTTCTTAATAAAAGCTGTATATTGAATTTGTTTGGATGGATTGCCATTTTGTTGTCTATTAGATGTATATATGTAGTCGTTTAATAGCGGTCTATTTGATGACTAGTCTATTCTTGGGCTATGGTTCGACGTCTATTAAATGTTCACTGACAGCCCAAATTTAGCCTTGTTTTAGCCTAGACGTCTGGGCTGTGTTTAGACAGCTAATAGACGTCTTTTAAACGCAAAATTGCTTGCTGGGTAGCCTCAGTCTCCGAAAATTCATGCATTGAACACTGTTCTGATGGCACAAGAGTTGCAACTATGGCAGCTGAGAAGGCCATTCTTTGTAGAGGCATTTGAAAAAAGTGCACTGTTCTCGGTCATTAGAGATATGTGTATAAAACACACAATATTTACCAGAGAGCTTCTCTCTTTTTTTAACACACTGAATGGTGATACACTATATATATCTCGTTTTTGTTTTTAGTAGGCATCCAAGCAAAAGAGAATGACTCCCTGTCACAATTAGTGTAATTAAAGTAAAAAATTATGTCAAGCTTTTCTTGTGCATTTTTTTTTCTTATTTGGCAGATGCTGTGATGACCAACTTCCCGGCAGCAACTAAGTTGGACTTGAGGAATGCAGTTGGGAAGCATTTTAAACAAGAAATAAAACCAATAATTAATCATTTCCTTTAAGTTCACTGTTGGTTTTTATTTGTTAAAAGTAAACCAACAAAAGAGTTAATCTTTTTTTTTTTATGTTGTCATTTATCCGTAATGTTTTAATGTTAAGTGTGATGTTAAGTTAACATGCTCTTGATTTGTATTAGATTTTTTTTCTTTTAAATATCTTATATTTAAAATATTTTATTTTTTCATTTTTATATTTTTATTATCTTAAGTTGTAAAAAATTCCAGATTTTTTTATCATAGTATTTATATTTATGTGTATTGTAGTTATACAATTTTTATTTTGTCATTAATTCTTTTGCATTTTTATCATTTTGTATTGTCTTAAGTTGTCCAAGTTGTTAAAAATTTTATCTTTCTTAATAAAAGCTGTATATTGAATTTGTTTGGATGGATTGCCATTTTGTTGTCTATTAGATGTATATATGTAGTCGTTTAATAGCGGTCTATTTGATGACTAGTCTATTCTTGGGCTATGGTTCGACGTCTATTAAATGTTCACTGACAGCCCAAATTTAGCCTTGTTTTAGCCTAGACGTCTGGGCTGTGTTTAGACAGCTAATAGACGTCTTTTAAACGCAAAATTGCTTGCTGGGTAGCCTCAGTCTCCGAAAATTCATGCATTGAACACTGTTCTGATGGCACAAGAGTTGCAACTATGGCAGCTGAGAAGGCCATTCTTTGTGTTCTTTTTGAAGAATTTTCGGAGCCTGATGAAATCAGTATAAATACGTCTTTAATACTGCAAAATACGCTCGATGTAACAGTCACTGCCCTTGCTGTCCAGAATAAAAGAGAACATCCCAATTTGAGTGAAGGGATTTGTGGAAACTGTGGTTCCTAATTATTGTGATCCAACATTTGCCTCGCATTTCAGGATGAAAAGACAAACATTTCAGGTGAAGGATAATCCACTTCTTACCTCCGAGACTGTGCTATGATCTATATAACCTTATTATTTTTATTGTGAGTATTAGGCTTATCATTATTGCTGATCACTGTTGTTGCGCTATGATATTGTAATATTTACCATTATATAATCGGAGGAGTATAGAAAAGTTTATGACAGTGTCACTCCACAATGCAATAGCAAAATATATATGTATAGTATTTTTATGTTACATTAATCAGTGTCTAGCACACCTTCCTAAGGAAAGTGTTACGTCCTGTGGACGTATTTGTAAAACGTGTGATCATGGGAGTGATATCATCTATTGGGCATGTTACACGTTGCATGTTTGCTCTCTCTCTCCCTGTCGCAGACCACTTATTGGGTTCCAGCTGATGCTCATCGTCCATCAGTACTGAGTGAATGCCACAGAAACCGAAGAAGTATGATGGTGCGTTCAAGACGGCGGTAAAGTTAGTTTGACGTTTGACATTCATTAGACATTCAGGTTTTATGCCAATTAAACTCTTTGCAGCTTTTATGTTTTGAGCCCAAACTAACTCAGATAGACATAAATATATGCCCTTTATGTTGCACAAGGCTTAATTTCTAGGAATAAAAAATTTTTTTTAACCATTTAAATTAATTAAACAATTTAACTACGTGACATTATAATATAAAACCAATACTAAAATATTCAGGAAAACATACCTGTTATCGAACAAAGCTCCGTTTTTGGAATTACAATTTTATGTTTTTTATAATAATTTTACAACTTTTAATGTATGCAATAATATAAATCCATTAAACGACAACACCATTTGATCTAAAGGTATCAAACCAACTGTAAAATATTCAGAATATTATGCCCTATAATGCACAAGGCTTGGTTTTCCAGATTATGCCTTTATTGTTTTTATAAACAGTACTGAATCCATATTTGTCATGTTTATTATTCTGTATCCACTTAAATTAATTAAACTCTGACACAGTTTGAGATAAACGTATCAAACCAACTGTAAAATATTCAGAATATTATTCAATTTAATGCACAAGGCTTGTTTTTTCAGATTATGCCTTTACTGTTTTTATATATAGCACTGAAACCATATTTTTTCCATATGTTTTATATACTGTACCCACTTAAATTAATTAAACTCTGACACCGTTTGAGATAAATGTACCAAACCAACTGTACAATATTCATAATATTATTCAATTTAATGCACAACGCTTGTTTTTTCAGTTTATGCATTTACTGTTTTTATATATAGGACTGAAACCATATTTTTTTCATATGTTTTATATACTGTACCCACTTAAATTAATTAAATTCTGACACCGTTTGAGATAAAGGTATAAAACCAACTGTAAAATATTCAGAATATTATTCAATTTAATGCACAAGGCTTGTTTTTTTCAGATTATGCCTTTATTGCTTTTATATACAGTACTGAAACCATATTTTTCATATGTTTTATATACTGTACTAACTTAATTAAATTAAACTCTGACACAGTTTGAGATAAATGTATCAAACCAATTGGAAAAATCTCTAAATATGATTCACTATAATGCACAAGATTCGTTTTTCAGAATTTTTTTTTTTTTTTTGACAGTACTGAACCCGTTTATATCCATGAAACTTGAACACCATTTAAGATAAAGATATCACACCAACTGTATATTTTTCAGATCATTAATCTGAGGTTTTTTCATATAGAGTACTGAACTTTTAATTTTTTTTAGACTAGAACCCATTTCAATACATTCAACTGGAACACCATACATACATATACACATATACAACAATATATAAATATTAATATGTACCTTTAAGGTACTAATATGCACAAGTTAATGTGAAAAAACAAACAAAATGTCTTTACTTTTGTACCTTAGGGT